ATGCTTTTGCTTTTTTCTTGCAGGGATCACAGCAGAATCCTTATTGGGGATGGCCGAGGCAGAGTGTTCAGCTGGTCTGTAAGCGATCAGCCTGGCCGATCTGCAGCTGATCACTGGGTGAAGGACGAGGGGGGAGACAGCTGTTCAGGCTGCGCAGTCCGTTTTTCACTCACTGAGAGGCGTCACCATTGCAGGAACTGTGGACAGCTCTTCTGCCAGAAGTAAGACAGCCAACAGTCTCCTTCGGGCTCTTTTCCACACAGAATTTTAGGCTGGGTAAAGTTGTTGCATACCACGGAACTCTGCTGAAAGACTGAGGTTTCCCTTACCAAAACAGAACCGATGAAGAAAAAACATCAAAACTCTCAAAACTTTAAGGGAGGAATTTGAAAAGACAGATCATTTTCTCATTTAGGTTCCTGCTCTGGCAGGGGGATTGGACTAGATGATCTTTCGAGGTCCCTTCCCATCCCTAACATTCTGTGATTCTGTGTGATTCTGTGCTCAGCCCCTTTATAAATCCAGTTAGCAAGAAGGGTATTAGGAGAGAATTAAATTTGCAGCTTTGAAATCCTCCTTTTTGCCCATCTGGCAAAAACTCTAGACAAATGAACTTAGCAAGGGGGGAAAAAAACAAAACAAAATTAAAAAACAACCCTTCTTTTGCAGCAGCTAGTTTTTTCTTGTCAGCCTACAAGCAATCCAGTCAAAATGTGAACTGTAAGGATGTTAATTTAGGAGCCAGTGGCATGCAGCCTCAGACAGGGAAATGTATGACACAGAGGATGTACGTGAGCTCCCCTTACCGAAGAACTGAGGTGGGAGTCTGTTCTCTGGTCCGCTTGGTCAGAGACAGTACTTCTCGCTTCATGCCTATAGTTGTACTTTGAGTCTAAACTGGTGACAACAGCTGTTTTTAAGCTACCTCTCACACAGAGTCGTTGCACTGATTCTGTGGTGATAGTGCAAGTTAAATTCTGCTTTTGCCACACTACATTGCATTTCTTTGTCAGATAAGTTTGGACAGTTTTCTTGTATTTGAAGTCATGATGGTAACTTCCACACCTGGACAGAAAATGGCCAGGAGAGGACATGTTTTCACAGAAATGTTTGTTTTCTTCTACAGGTGCAGTAGGTTTCAGTCTGAAATCAAGCGTCTGAAGATTTCATCCCCAGTCAGAGTCTGCCAGAACTGCTTCTACAACCTGCAGCATGAGCGGGGTTCAGAGGAGGGGTCCAGAAATTGATGGGGTCTTGGCAAATGGAGAACCCATCCAGCCCCACCATTGCTCCAAGGACTAGTGAGAACATTGTGCAGTGATCAGAAGGGATTAGAATATTGTCTGTTTACACTTAAGTTTATACTGAGTTTTAAGCACTAAGAGTAAAAAGGGATCATTGGATTGATTTGTTTGAATCCAAATTAGAGAAGGTAAATGAGGCTAACAGCATAATTAAGTGAAAAGCAAGGCCCAGGAAGACATGATTAACAACCACACATCCAATAGAACTGTCAACCCCTAAACCTATGTTGACATGGCTATTGAAAAAATCCTCACTTATCTTAAAAACTCGTTCTTGTCTTGTTTTTGTAGAGCTAGTCATCTTTATCGGGGGGAGGGGGAGGGGAAGGCTTTTTAGAAGATAGTTGTAAATCTGCCTTCTTCACAAGCAACTGTGTATATTGTAAATAGGTATAATGGCCTTTTTATCTAAATATGAACTTAACTGCCTGTTACATGGGACTTCAGATTAACCACTATACTTTGTGTGGCATCTTTATCTCATCTATCAATTTAAATACAAATGTTTAAAAAGAAAAAAAAAAAAAAAACAAAAACAAAAACCAGAAAACTCGAAGGCATTATGCGTATTTCTGTTAAAAATCCAGTCTGTGCATGTTTGTTCTTTCAGTTGCCCACAGTATCTTAATTTAAGTAAGGCTATTCATAGAATTACATGGCTTTTTTCAAAAGAAAACATTTTTGAGAATAGGACTTGGAGTATTTTATTCTAGCTGTAAGATAACCAGGACCTAAATTGTACACTTGTGTTGCATTTTATACCAAACTAATTACCACCTCAGTGTTGTTCATATTTAATAAGGCCTCTTTTATACATATGTCAGAGCTGCAGTTTTGTTAATTACTTAATGTTCATTAGCAGCTGATTCATGCCGTGCAAGAACCAGCTTTTACCTTCTTTAGTCAATAGCGATTAGCTTGCATATAGGTACAGAATGAATTCCTTGTGCATAAAATTTAACCGCTGTTGTCCTGTAGCTTGGTTTGCAAAAAACCTTTTGGATCAATAGGCATTGCTCTAAAACAGGGTGATTTTAGTCATGTCAGAAATGCTTCTAAGAGCTATCTTCATGTTTCAGCACATGGCATCAGCCTTGAGGACGGCAGCAGATGTCCATTATGGTTTTTAAGTTCCAATATGAATTTAATTGCAGTATTTTTTTACTACTCTGTCATTTATTTTGCACTACATGCGGGATGAAGTAGAGACACTGATATCCACTGGGATTGGAACATGTGCATCGGATAGGCCCACGGACTTAATTTCTGAAGGAGGGTTTCTTGCCAGTGGGTTTTTGGTTGGGCAGAGGGAGGGTGGGC